CTGTAACGATTGAATTTGTCCTACCCATTGATTCATTTTCAGCCCCAAAAAATACTCATAACTTCTTTCCCAAAGGCACTCTGCCGATAAGGAAAGCCGATTTGGAAACGGCATTCCAAGCTCTCACTGATGGTATGCAGTTTGTAGTGATCGGCCACTTCGACTCGGTGACCCTCCCTTGTGAGATTAGTCATATAGCATTAAAGTTAAGTTAACAAATTGCAAAACTTGCACATGGTATTTCTCTCTCTCTCTGCTTATTCACACATATAGAGCATTAGCTTGATTGGATTAGTTGCGATCCTAAAGCATCACACAACGAGTTTCCTTCTTTGCCTTGTAATATTTTCAAACACTTAGCTAAGTGATCGCAAGAGCCGGATAAACATGTCTAGTGCTGGGTAGTGGAGATCATCCAATATTTAGCATGTGAAGAAATCTCTTCGCTGACGCAACCAATTAGTGGAGTTGAGAGATGCGCACCGCAAAAAGCAACAAAGTTTTAGGTCTCATAGCTCTGCAAAAGCTGGATGCTTTCTGAATATACACGCCGAAAACTGCACCTAATTCCCTTGATTCAAGTTTCCTTTCACATAAAAACATAGTGCTCTAGGTGCAATTTCTGCATAATTAGGACTCTCAAAAGCTTCCAAGACCTTTCTCCACCAATTTCCTTAGGTTTTCCGTAACCGCTATGGCTCCTTTTTCACTTTTTGTCTTTATGGGTTTGATGAACATAGAGAAAGAGTAGCTATTGATATGGTTATTATTTTACAAAGGAAATTCTGATATGTAATAAATCAGCTTGCCTATGGTGCATGGCGCACGCAAGAGAGAGATGGAGAAAAGAGAGCGTAAGTTTGGGAAAAAAGTAGTGTGTAAGCTGAAAATGATTTCTAGAATGAAATGTTTTTTATTTCGATGATACGATAGCGTTTGTAATTCTTACCTTTACAAAGTTTTGAGACGTCAAGTTTTGTATTCGATAAAACAAATTTACGTTTTGAGTGATAAGCTCTGTCAACGCCACCCTGAAAGAAAATTTTGGGTCTTTAACTCTTTGATGAGAACTCTGAGACGACAGATTTCTAAAATGAGACCAGATCTGGAATTACGATTGGTCCAGAATTTATCATACAGTCGCTTATGCATATTCAGATTGGTAACTTGCCCAATGAAAGATTGGGTGACTATGGTAACAAAAGTAAATTCTCATATGCTTATTATGAAAAGAGTAAATAGGGTCGCTCGCACTGTTGCTAGGTTAAGAATACCTTTGAAAGCCGCAAAAAAAGTAAGTGAATGGCTTTTTTTGCAATTGCAGCATGAGAGTACCGATTTGCTAAAAACTTACGAGCGATTGATTGTGCATAAATTTTTAGGGGCACTTCGATAGATGATAAGAGTCTATATCTTATATAAAAGCTGAATGTCTGTTTGTCTGTCTGTCTGTCTGTATGTCTGTCTGTATGTCTGTCTGTCTGTACGTATGTTCCGAATAGAAAATTCCATTTCTTAACCGATCCGGACCAAACTTGGCACACATACCCTTCGGGCCCCGGCGGGTGTCACAGTCCACTTTTCGTTATCGATCGATGTCGATTTTATCTATTTTTTTGCAAAATTTGAGCTACGGGGCTGGGATTTGGCACAGGGGGGTAATCGAGCATGCTGATTACGAATACGATATTAGTTTTCGAAACCGTGCATTACTTTTATCGATTTTATCGACTTTTTGCAAAATTTGAGCTAGGGGGCTGGAATTTGGCGCAGGGGGGTAATCGAGCATGCTGATCACCCCCGTGGGGATGATCAGCATGCTCGATTACACCCCCTGCCATATTCCAGCCCCCTAGCTCAAATCTTGCAAAAAATCGATAAAATCGACATCGATCGATAACGAAAAGTGGACTGTGACACCCGCCGGGCCCGAAGTGTATGTGTGCCAAGTTTGGTCCGGATCGGTTAAGAAATGGAATTTTCTATTCGGAACATACGGCGGAGCCGGGTAAGCCAGCTAGTGATTGATAATGAGGAGTGCATTGCAGTTATCTATAAAGCTGCTCTATGTCAGCTTTTGTATAAATGCTGAATATGAGGCAAGCATTACAAAACAGGCAGAAGTAGTCTATTTTTTGTTATCTAGGTTTTTTTTGCTGTACGGACTAATCTACACTAAATTGCAAACGTGTATGAACCAAGCTCAACTACCAACATTTTCGCATCCCTTAAAATCGTAATGTTTGTTGTGCTACAGCGGTCCGAGAAGATTGGTAAAGCACTACTGTAATAGCCTAACGTCTTCGGCGACATGTTTAAAGAAGTTTAGAAGCGTAAATTTACACGTTCTGTTAGCTAAACTAGGTAATTTGGAGCCTCGGGTGAGACTGGGGCTACCAGCTAGTAATCTTTACCAAGACCTTATAATAACGGGCTAAGGGTTGTTTACGTGACTTTGTGTGTCTGTGTGTCTGTCAGTGTGTGTGAGAGTGTGTCTGTTATGAAATTCGTAGAGAGTGTTCCAGCCAACATCCTATGCCCAAGTTTCGCATAGCGCATGCTACCAGCATGAAAGCCCACCAAGCAAAAGTACGAGCGGATCCATTGAGTGTCTCCTCAAAACTATAAGACAAATGGATCCACTTGGCTTCCGGCCAGCGAAATCGGGTTCATAGTGTCACTTTTCGCAAAGATGAATATGTTTTACAAGTGGACATGCAAGCCATGGACTTTAGCCCAAAAAAGTGATCAAAAGTCTATTACAATACGAAAGCGGCGCCAAAAGGATTGGTTGCGTAAATGATAGATTTGCCAAGGTGTTAGCTAAGCTTTTGATAAGATTTTTGCACAGAAATGTAGCTCACGGTGTTTGTCGTTCTTATGGCGACTATCATGCTATAATATATCCAAAAACTAATTTGAATTTGCATTCGTAATTTGCGAGAAGTTTCATCTAGGCGAGTTTACAATCTCACATGAGAAAGCATTCGGAATGAGTAATTGTTTACGGTTTATCAGCGATCAGTGATAGTCAGCACTGCGCAATGAATTTCAATGCCATTATTATGCTGAATTGAGTAAAGCACACAGACAACAGAACCAGTGCTAGCCCCTGCGAAGCAGAGGTGAGCACTGGTATACATAAATTTTGAAGTCTGTGAGGATGTTCGCTAGGTTGTTCATTCGTTATAGAAACGCCAGCCGTTGAATCGGTTGAGCTGAGATTTCGCACACATATGTTTTCGATCCCGGCGGTAGTTTAGGGCTACTTTTTGCGACGATTTACTGGGCCATTCTATCGATTTCTTGATATAAATAAAGACTTTTCTTACTCCAACCGATCAATTTTTTTCATAATCATGTAAGCAAGGGTGGTACAGTCCATTTCAATTTCAAAGTCGGGAATATGCGGCCATTCGTCTCAAAGCGCTTTTTGCGCATGTTTGAAGAAGTTGAGAAGCGTAAGTTCACACGTTCTATTAGCTAAACTAATTTGGAGCCTCGGGTGAGACCGTACTACCAGGTAATCATATATACAAGCCTCTAAAAGCACGTGAAATTTTAGCCTTTTACAAGGGCTAGCTTCGAAGAATTTTGTACTGTACGTTCAAAACTGGAATTCGTCATGCCAAATTCGATACTTCTCGAAGATTAGCTCTTCTAGATGGTTGGAAATCCCAAGTTGTACTTCTAACTGTTATCCTACAGTTACTAATTAGAACAGCTAAACCTTACTCCAGATGGAGATGCAACTGTATATGTGATTGTGCAATGTGTAGCGTACACTCAGACAATCGCCGGAGGCAGGCGGGCGCCGGAAACCATGCGTTGCTGACATTTCGCATTCCGCTCGCAAATTCCAGAAAATGGTCAGCAAGTTTTTGAAAGGCCGCCTATTAAATCTTTTTTCGCTCTTATCTTTTGCAGATGTATTACTGAATCTCTGAGGAATCGAGAACTCAGCAAGCGGTGTCCCGAAAAATCCTGATTGCTTTTCAAAAAATCCGCGAGCGGGGTGTGAGAAATCAGTCATCTATTTTTCCGGTGCCCGCCTGCCCCAGGCGATTCTCTGAGCATGTGTGCGAGCAAGTGGTCCCCCCGGATTTCCTAACAAGGAAACGATACGTGGTGTCCGTGGCCTTTTGAGATCAGATGTATACCATACACTCATCTTGGAGCGCTGATTCCGAATCTGACTTCCGTTTCTGCTAATCGTTTCTCTAAAAGAAGTTATGAAGGATTTTTGCGCCAAAGTAGACGTGGAATGCCAAAAATGCCGCTGAGATGTCATGTAATGGCTAGTGAGATAGCCTCGCAAGTTAATGTAGGTTTAGGTTCGAGTCTTTTGTGTTTTTCAGTTTTGCATTGCCTTAATCAAGCTTCTTTTTGAAAGTTAGGCATCCTCCGTCTCATTTCTCTTAGGCGACCATTGACGCGAAAATCCTTCATAACTTCTTTCAGAGAAACGATTAGCAGAAAAGGAAGTCAGATTCGGAATTAGCGTTCCAAAACGAGTGTGATGGTATACGTTTCATCTCAAAAAACCACGGACACCAAGTATCGTTCCCTTGTAAGACGGATTTTGACTACTTTTCGTTTATCACTTAGATATTTCTAGTTTTTAGCTAAAGCGTGGAACAAGGTTTTCTCCTGGCGCCATTTTTTGTTCATAAATTTTCACGTAAAGCATATTGCTTCATCGAATGTTACCCTGTAGTCTATCTTTACAATTGAAATATGACTTACTGCGGTGTAAAGCCATTTTGGTGCAGGACTTATTTTTATGTTATTTTTATGACTTATGTTTCAAATTTAATGGCATCTAGTGTCTTATTCTCACCCGCCCCATAATTCACAAGCCTCAACGGCTGTATTGGCATTACGTTGTGAGTGTCGGCGCGTTCCGACAATTAATTTTGACTTGTGACTTTAGCCTCCAACTCTGCTCGTTCTAGGTGAAAAATCGCGAAGCATGTCTGGAACTAGGGGACTACACCAAAATGTTAGTCGTTGACGAAGAAAAGCAATTAACATCCTCGTCGCTGCTCGGAGTTCTGGAAAGTACTTGTTTGTGCATGTGGAAATTTGTATTCGTCTACAACAATCAAAAAATTTTACATGGTGAAACACCATCAAATACTTGCTTAACACTTGGCGGCAGTAAAGAAACGAGAGAGTTGGTAATAACTGCATTGGTGAGATCTTGGTGAGATAACCGAGGTGGGAATGCTATAGATAATGTAGCTACTTATAAATGGCTTTCGACAAGTACTGGTTTCCATGTGATATTCAGCACCTGACTATGTCGTACAATATAGACTATGCATGTAAAATGATTAGAGGGTAAAGCTAATTGCCTCCTGGGAGGTAATGAAATGTGGGGAAGGGAAGTTTCGAGTTATCCTTAACCATTCAAACAGTGAAAATTTTCCCACTTGAATTCATGTAAGGAAGTGTATGCTAAATTAACCCCGAGTGTGAGAAGTTAAACTTGATGTTTTTCGAAAACTAGGGCTTATGGAAAGCTGCAAATTTAAGGCTTTACTTTCAAGGGCTTGTAGTATACGACTACTTGAATAAAAACAGCATAGCTTTGTTTTTATGAAGACAAGAAAATTTTCGTTTTCTCGATTTCCAGATGAGGAAAAAAATACAGCAACGGTACAAATGAGTGACACGAAATAATGAAAAAGTGTACGAAAAACCTGAAAGTGTTCTACAAGTGCTACAAAATCGCGTATTTGCTTTTAAACGATAACAACAAGCCACAAAATCCAAGGTAAAAATCTTGGGTTTCTTATAATTCAGGGTTACATAACTACTTTTGTGCCCAAAATATTTTCTGGAATTTCCGCTGCTTTCTATAAATGCGCAAATAAAAAAGAAAAATGTGCTGCAAAATGTGCTGCTTTGTGTGCTTTTGAGGAAATCATATTGTTTTAACCGCATGGCTAAACCCCCTTGGCGGCCAGAATGTCTTTGTCAGTTTATCTTCGGCCTTGGCTTAATGCGATAACAGCGCTTCCTCCACTTTAGCATCTGCTAGCAGTGTCCTCGTGAGACAGATCTAATGGGCGCATTTTATGTCGCACAAAGAGATTTCATTGCTTGGCATTTTTTTCTGTACTTACCGCTGATGTTTCTTGCTTTAGTGTTCATCAACATTTTTTCAACACAATTGGACACATTTTTCGTACCGAAAAAGGTTGCCAGCTATGTTGTTCAATCAGCTCCATCATCAAGGATGTCTATGAACCAGCTCTAAGACTGATGTGCGACAATTCGCACAACATCACCAACGTTTCGTCGCTGCCAAAAGAGCTTTAGTCTATTTCAGGTGAAAAATTTGGGGGAAAAATCGCACAGTACTGTGCTCTGCTCAAGGACATCAACAACTAGCATTTGATCGAAAACGATAGGTGAAAGCGATGACCAGATTTAGTGCAAAAAAACATCGGCAAAAACCATTCGACAAACCGCTTTTGTATTGTAGAAAAATATTAGCTGATTGGCTGTGTGTGTATATGTGTGACCGTCAACGACCAGTTTTGTGATATTAAATTCAGTTGAGAATTTATACGTGACCGTTATGTGTTGCAAAAGAAGGATATCTTAGCTGGAACGTATTTGGGTGGTTAATTAATTAAATAAGAGAATGCTGTAATGCCAGCAAAGTGCTACAAGCGAAAAATGTGATATTGAATTTATTGTCTCTCGTTAGTTCCGCTAGCCGAGGAATAATGTTTGGGCAAATATTGGATTTTAGGTTGATGAGAAGTTGTTAAATCAACTGTTTGGAAAAGAAGAGCGAAACCGTTTATTTTTTATTTACTTCAAAGTACAATAAATACCTAGAATGAATGTTGGAAATGAATAACACTTCCCTTTTTAAGATTACTTGCATTTGCTCAAGAATAAACTATTCTTTCTGGTAAAAAATTTGCGAAGCTGCGCTCAAATTGTTTTTGAATAAAAAAGTAATTTTTTGGTCCATGACGCACTGAAAATTTTTTAGACCACTTCCATACTGCTGATTATCTTCCCACTCCCTCCCCTACCTTTTGTCATAATTTGCCACTCTTCTTCTGAGCATTCGCTCAACCTTTCCTCAAAACTATAGTGATTTACAAATTTCGATTTTGGGGAAATGCATTGTGAACAAGTAACCCTACTTCAAGGATCCAAAAAATTGAACATACCCATAACTTTATGCGTAGATCCGAAATTCGTAAAGTCACCTCTCTCCAGAACGTTCATTTGCTTTCTGTAATTAAAAACAGTTCAGTTTCACTTTCACTGGCTGCGATGTTATGATGTATTTGATACGTGAGAGAAAAATATTGACCTTGAGAATGATTGTTTTGGAGGGAAACGAAAGAAATGTTACCTGATATGATCTTAATTATGCCATTGTATAAAAACAGATTGACCAAAATTATAAATTCGCAATGGAGCAAGATAACTAGTCGAAAACTCGTTCAGCCGGATAGTGCCTTAATGAGAATAAGGAAATGGAAAGGATCTTGCTTACAGAATTTTTATCAGAAAATTGAAAGAGTTCTTTGTGGGATCTAGTCGTTTGTCCAATCAAGTTTGGAAAACGAATGTTTCTACCTTTGGCCGTGGATAGTGCAAGGATAATTCTTCATCGTAAATCGCTTCCAAGCAAAAACTGCAAATAAAAACACTCAATCGTCAATCAAAAGAATTAGAAGTCCGTATGATTTGAAATAAGTGGCGCAGTCCAGAAGCATATTTTTATACGTCAAGAATTGGATAGCTTAAATGACTAGAGTAGGTTTGATTGTTACCAGAGTTGTTAAAGCAGTAAATGATCATAAAGTTCAAATTTAATGAGAAGAAGATTGTTTAGCAACAAATGATAGCTAATGCCAACTTTATGTCACTCATAAAAGCCAACTGCGTCGTTTACAAAGATAATACAATGAAAAACTTTAACTTCCTGTCCTCAATGTCTTTGTTTGATGCCAGCTTCCATAAGTGAAAGTGCGGAAGTATGGAGGACAGGACAGAACGATTTGCTTCCTGACCCCCCCCCCCGCTCCCCTCCCTCTCCTTCTGAATCTGTGTTCTCTCCATATTTCTCAGTTTCTCCTTAGTTTCTCTCCCTTCAGCTAGCCACAGTAGCTGAAGGGCGGAGCTTGGATACCTCCACGCTATGGACCATACGTAAAAACTTGCTGTGAATCTGGTACTTTCAAGATTCCAGTGCTGTAAAGTGCCACCGGACTAAACGTATATATAGAAGCCCATACGCTTTGGGTATCACATCCACCCATTAAGCCAATCAACAGCAGCCAGCTGTCTGGTGGTTGTGGTAAGCATATAACTGTCATTTCTTTTAACTCTTGTAGAGCCTGAATCATTTCAACTAACCAACTTATACCTTTAGAGAATGGGTGCTACAGCAGTCGTTTCGGCTGTGGCGGGCGTCACCGCTGTAGTCACAGTTATGTGTATGATTACAGTAGGATATCTGATCAATGATATCAACAACTTCTATGACGATGCCATCGAGGACCTTGCTGACTTCAAGGTAATTGGATTTGTCTAAGCCAATTTGTAACAATTAACGTACTGCTATCCAGGACGTAGCCAACTCTGCCTGGCACGAAATGAGGCCGACACCATACGATGCACTCCGTCAGCCACGAGCTGTGCGTAACCGACGTCAATGGCCAGAGCACTGCAACTGTGGTCCACCAGCCTTGAATTGTCCACCAGGTCCACAGGGACCACCTGGAGCGCCGGGAGAGGATGGAGAGCCTGGTCCTCCAGGTAAAGATGGCAAAAAAGGAAATGATGGCATTTCCATACATCCTGAAGGAAAGGGAGCAGGCGGGTGCATCAAATGTCCACCTGGACCTCCCGGACCACCAGGACCAGACGGACCTCCCGGACCTCCCGGACCCGATGGACCTCCAGGAACAGGCGGAGGACCAGGAGGACAAGGACCTCCTGGCCCACCTGGACCCGAAGGAGATCCAGGACCACCAGGACCAGAAGGACCACCTGGACCAAAAGGAGAAGATGGAAAATCTGGAGAAAAAGTGGTTGGAGTACCAGGCCCCCCAGGACCACCAGGACCAGAAGGACCACCTGGACCTCCTGGAGAACCAGGCACCGGCACCGCTGGCGACCAACCTGGACCACCAGGCCCACCAGGACCACCAGGAAAAGAAGGACCTCCCGGTCCAGATGGACCACCAGGACCTCGTGGACCATCTGGAGCACCTGGAGGCGACGGTGCCTACTGTCCTTGTCCTCCTAGGAGTGCTGCACTGGCGGCAGCAAAAGAAGCCAAGAGTGAAGCAGTGACCACTCTTACTGCTTCTTCCGAAAGTTACAGCAGACGACGACGTTCCGCAAGAGGAGAGCTGGAGACAGAAGACTAAAAGATTAAAAATAGATAAAGCTGTGGTCGAACTGATTTGACATTGATTCGAAGTAGTAGAGATTTACAACATAAATCCTTCACAGCTCAAATGTACTTTCGCTGTTTCAAATGTGTGACCAAGGCACTGAAGTAGTGCATAAGAAACATTTCTTATCAAACAGAAGAGCTTTTGAGATTTTGAAAAAAAAAAGAAGGAATGATTTCATTACTTCTTTGCAGAATTTGTTGTCACATAAGTAATTAAGATATTTACTATTTTTAACTATATTTTAGACTCTTTGTGGTTTCGTAACTTACAACGGAACATCACTTAAATCAGTTGATAAGACAACGTAACGTGATATCAGCAGTTAGATTTTTAAACGTTATCTGAAATATTCCTCTGCTAGAAGTTTTCCGGAAGATAATATGACATTTTTGTATGCGCAAGTGGAGTGTGACCAAAAAATACCATGAATACACTCAAAAATATTTTATCTCATGTTACATATGATGACTTTCATATGCAGAGGTGATTGCAAACACAAAATAAACTTTACTAGCTTAAAGGAACTAACTCCAAAAACACAGTAATCTAATTTGAGGTTAGTTTACAGACTGTTGGCTGCTCTTTATATCAGTTTTGAACGTGGATAGCTCAGCCTTCGACATTCTGTTGCTTGGCATACCATCAAATTCAACGCGTCCAGCATAAGCTTAATCTGCTCTAACTTTAGACTTTACTCTTGGCATTAGCAGATTTCTACGTTTACCTCATGCATTTGACAATAGTATGAAGGCAGCAGTTGTCTCTAGCATTTATCCCCCCCCCCCCTCCCCCAACAATCTTGGCGCAACAGTCGCGTCAAGTTCATGCCCCTTGCGGAGTAATGTCGATGACGATTAACTCGCAAGTTTCAATGAGGCCCAATTTGAAGTAATATTTGCGCTTCAGCGGTGTCATAATCGAGCATCAGCTTGCTGAAGGTTACATACCCTTTTTACAGACAGGACAGTGTTGACGAAAGTTGTAAACAAGTTGTAACAGCCTTCATAAGAACATAATTCACGCGATTTCAGTCGCGACGCGATTTGGCAATTCGCCAGAAGTCTTCGGATTCAACACTAGCAAAGTGCACATGCATAGTGTGTATAACTTACGTGGATTGATAAAATGCCCTATCTTCTCTACGATGCGCTTATAATTATTATGGATGGTTGGAATATTGCCAAATCGCGTCGCGACTGAAATTGCGTGAAGTATGCCGGGCCCTATAGGCTTATCAGCTATGATACAAAATGCTGATCAAAACAAACGCACTTATGATTACTAACTAGTGTGATTACTCTCTCATGCAAGAAAATTGTGATTGTTTTTCTCATAGTTTATATAGCATTTATAAAATTGAAACGACGGATTCGACTGCAATCCTTGGGCGCACCGAAACCTTAGGGACATATTACACTTGAACAAAAACCCTACCTTATCAAAAAAAACATACAAATACAAAACATACAAACAAATATAAAAACACTACCTTATCACTTCATTCATTTTAGAGGCAGTGCTTCCGCAAATGATGGATACTGGAATTTTACAGCGTTGTATTGGTAGACCCCCCAGCTAGTCTATATGTGAAGTTTGAAGCAAAAAAGCGCCTCTCGAAGGCCCAAAACTCGCTTCGGTAGTCTTCCGGACCCCGCCGGTTTCTTACACGTGATTTGGAGCGAACATGGAAAGCTTTGAAAGCTCATTTTTGCCATTTTCAAGCGCTGAAAAGCTCAGATATGGCTTCAGCTTGGCGAGAAGGCTTCGAAGAGGAAAAAACTGGAAAGCGAGTTTCGCCGGGACCCTGCCTTAAAGCAGCTATCATACGCATACAAAAATTGCTTCGAAAAAAGACGAAGGTAAAGAAACTATGTTTGCGAAATTGCGTATGCGAGCCATTGTTGCAATTATATGAGTGATATGTATGTGGAAAGGCACCTGATTTATATTGACTTTTCGAAAAAGGACTGAATTATTAGGATTCAGCCCAAACATGCTGTCCCTAGCTGCGAAGCGTTTTTCTAAACATAGTCGTAGGTTTTTTCGTGTGTAAAATTTGCATGCTTATCGACATACTAACATTACGCTATTGACAGTCACATGGTATCACAACTGCATAATGCTCGTGCTCCCTATGAGCACTTAAAGACATGATCCACGTTTTTAAAAAAATAATCTAGCAACTTTTCAAAACATACTTCTGCTTAAGAATGTCTTCACTATTCGTTAGCATCTCAATTGCGTCTGAAAAAAAGCTCATAACCATGGAGTTGTATTGAGGGTCTGGGATGAAGAGGGGTTCATTATCGAGATAATACTCATCTTAGCGATGACATGATATTTGTTAACAACAGATAGGCATTATGCAAAATACTTTGATGTTTTGGCCTACCATCGCATACGTACAAGTGAGAATAATAAAAGACCCTAAAAGCACAAGAGGCATCATTATTGTTATTAGTATGTCAAGCAACCTCTGTGGGCCAAGTTTCAGCGGATCCTGAGGTTTCATTGGGCAGCCCAAGCGAGGTGGTTGTTTTCAACACGCTCACTTTGTTTCAAAAGTGAGTTAACTACTTCTTTCTGCATTCAATACAAATACTACCACTTTTTTGCTCACATTAGAAATCCATCCCACTTCAAATAACCCCCAAACTTTTGATAATAAGAGCAAGCCCAAACCTCGTTTGTCACATTTTCTGCCTGTAGTATCCAAAACTATAGAAGACTAATCTGGCTCAAATCACTTTTGTAAAAGTTACGAAGTTTAAACTATCGAGTGTATGCTTGTTTCTAGATGTTAAGCCTCCACCAAGATTGTTACAACTTTTATTTCGGCTGACGTTTCGGCCAACTCGCCTTCGTCGGAGCCTGCGTAACACCAGACTGCATAATTTGCAAAACGAGCAGGCCGGGAGACTGTATGCGCTCAGGCGTTACCTACCTCATAACCTGTAAAATGTGCGGGCACGAGTACATTGGAGAAACGGGGAGGCCACTGTGCACTAGGATAAAGGAGCACATGGATGGGATGCGCAAGTCGAAAGTTTCTACACCACTACGCACTCATCGGAGGCTGCAGCATAATGGTACAGAATTTGATATTACAGTGTCAATTCGCGAGAAGCAGAGGTCGCGGGGCGCAAGACGCTAGAAGCCTGTTGGATTTTGTCCAGAAATCCCCAAATGAACAGGAAAGATGAATGCACTGCAATAACTAACGAACTCGCGCCCTTCCTGGAGTTATGCGGATTTGACCCACAACCGCAACAACCCGGGAACCTAGCTCACTAAGCATTCATACGTTCGTCAGTGGTGGTCCGTGACTAGCACTCGGCAAAGTCTCAGGTGGGGCTGTTAATCCTAGGCAGCATCGTTTTTCCAGCCAACTTTTGTCTGTTCCTTGCATTTAATGAGACGTTTGGGAGGATAAATCTCATTTGTTCCTCACTTACAGGCTCCGACGAAGGCGAGTTGGCCGAAACGTCAGCCGAAATAAAAGTTGTAACAATCTTGGTGGAGGCTTAACGTCTAGAAACAAGCATATCGTAATGCCAAGATTCACTGAAAGTCGAACGTGGAGAATTATCGAGTGTATCTTTCGCCTTCCCTCGCGATTGACGTAGTAGCGCAGATTTAGCATGTTACCATAACTCAAAAACTTCGCAGTATTTTCCACTTACTTAGGTAAGAAAAAACGACCTTTCCTAAGAGAAACGATTTTGAATGATCCTTACTGTGTGGAGAAGAGGGTTTGGCATGGAAAGATTTTGAAAAAATACAGATACTGCTATAATGCTTTGAAGGTAAGTTAATGGTGTGCGTACAATCCTAATAAAGTGTGGCAGCCGTAGCTTTTCCGGGATTGTGCCACACATTAACTTACGCCCAAAGAGAATTTTAGCGAATCAGATATATACAGTTCGATAGCCAAAATCTCATATTTTTTTGAAGAAGTGATTAGAGATGGATCTTCTTTCGTTTGCGCAATAGTTGCTGGAAGCACAAGAACTGTAAACTTGAAATGGGACAAAGGTAGCACTTTCGAAAACACTATTTTTACAGCGTAAGGTATCCGAAGGAAACATGTGAGAATACTAAACAGTCTATATGTTAAAAAAAAGCTTTCCTAAAATCTCAAGTATTCATGGTATGCCAAAGATGAGTAAGAATTCAGTTAAATAGATACATATCAAGAGCAAGAAGAAGTTGAAACCTCTTGCAGCCTCCTCAAGCATTTTGCAGCTTATACTTGTACATATAAGAAAGAATTTTGCTAATTTTTGTAACGTTATTAGTCACAGAACACAAATAAATCACTTCTGGGCTGTGGAAAACAGTACCCAAACAATAAAAGACTCAACAATACTATAGGGAACTTGAACATATGTATATTCTCCAGATTTCTCAGGCCTCTTCACTAGTCTACCACACATGACGTGATAAAGACTGATCTCAAAAAAGTTATAGGGTATACGAGAGGTTTTGAGCATACCTAGGGTATGTAATAGAAAAGTATCTTATACGAATATGGCAGTCCCCCGGAAAAAATTTTTTTATAAAGCTAAAATGAATTTTTAAAAAATTTTAAAAATTATTTCAATTATTTACAAGTGCAGACAAGTCATTTGCACAATTTTATAACGCATATAAGTAACCACCCGCCCCCCCCCCCTCGGTACGCCACTGGAATATGGATACACTACAAAAGCTTCCTGAACTAGAGGACGTACTCTATATGATAGACTCCTTGCTAGACTCTAGTCACTCAAGTTTTGGATGAGTTGTCTATCGACAAATTAAGGGAATACCACAAAGTGCTTCGTCCACAAATGACCGACCTAACATTGACATATACGGAATATGAATTCATGAATAGACTAACGATTATATCAAACAATTTGAGATTTTCTTTCAAAACTTACAGATATTAAATTGAACCGAAAGTTCGTTTGCAACATTTTCAGAAA